GCTTTTCTAGGTCATTAATGTTTATTATTTTTAATGTGGGATGAAACTGTCTCTGAATCTGGTTGTTTTTGTCCGGATGCTGCGGTAACGCCTGCCAGACGGCAGCAGACTGAACAGTTTGTGGCTGGGGTATGGGGGTCTTTTATAATCCTAAGAGATTTCTTCCTGAGCCGCTGGGAGTAAAGGTCCTCCATGGATGGCAGCTCCGTCCTGGTGATGTTCTCTGCAGTTTTCACCACCCTCTGTAAAGCCTTACGATTGAGGGCGGTGCAGCTGCCGTACCAGGCCGTGATGCAGCCAGTCAGGATACTCTTTATGTACCTGTAGAAGTATCTGTAGAAGTTACAGAGTATCCTGGAATCCATTTTGAACCTCCTCAGCCTGCGGAGGAAGAAGAGCCGCTGTCGAGTTTTCTTGGTAATGGTGGTGGTGTGAAGAGTCCATGTCAGGTCCTCAGTGATGTGCACCCCATACTTGCCAACCCTCCCGATTTTCGCGGGAGACTCCCGATTTCATAGCCCTCTCCCGGTTTCTCCCGCATTTCTCCCGATTTCTGACAAAATCAGATTTACACACGACTGTTTCCACTCGGACTTTATTACAGCTACACCATTGTTTGGTTTCCATGGTAGCGCGTCTCTCCCCCCGCGGTGGTCGTGAGTGAACAGGGAGTAGAGGAGAGGGCTGAGCATGCAGCCTTGAGGGGCACCGGTGTTGAGGATCAGGGTGGAGGATGTAATGTTTCCCACCCGCACTGCCTGAGGTCTGCCCGTCAGGAAGTTCAGGATCCAGTCACAGAGGGCGCTGTTGAGCTCGAGGTCTCTGAGCTTGATGACCAGCTTGGAGGGCATAATGGTGTTCAATGCTGAACTGTAATCAATGAACAGCATTCTTACATATGTGTTCCTCTGGTCCAGGTGTGAGAGGGCAGTGTGGATGGTGAGGGCTATGGCGTCGTCTGTGGACCTGTTTGCTCTGTAGGCAAACTGCAGGGGGTCCAGAGAGTCAGGGAGGGAGGAGGGAATGAAGGTTTTGACTAACCGCTCAAAGCACTTCACTATGATGGAGGTGAGTGCTACTGGGCGGTAGTCATTGAGGCTGGTGATTATTGTTTTTTTGGGGACAGGAACGATGGTGGAGTGTTTGAAGCATGTGGGGACTACAGACTGCAGCAGGGACCTGTTGAAGATGTCTGTGAACACCTCTGCCAGCTGAACTGCACACACCCTGAGAACACGGCCAGGGATGCCATCAGGGCCAGGAGCCTTGTGTGGGTTAACCTTTTTAAAGGATTTGCACACATCTGCCCTGTTTAAAACAAAAGGGCAGGGCTCCTGGTCCTTCTGTGCCTCCACAGCCTGGCTGCTCTCAAAACGTGCAACAACAAAAAAATACATCTTCTTATGTGCAATCGTACTACTGAAAGGATTCCGTCGGCTCATGTGAGTGAATATGTTATCTCACAGTTTACTGTTTGGGAAGACACTTTGGGTGTCTCAGTTAGTCCTGTGTAATACAATACTGCCATCCAGTGGTGGCACAGTAAAACCACTTATTCTAACAATGTATGTAAGGAAGCAACTGGACATCTTGGAAAGTTTGACTACATGCAAACAACTTCTATAAATAGGGAAAACTATTCTTTGGGCTTTTACATTCAACATCCACAAGTATTAAAACAATATACTTATTTGGAGTGTAGCTGCCAGAAAGGCAATTACAAAGAAATGGCTTTATCCAGCAACCCACTCTAAAGAGGACTATGATATTATTATTTATTTAAAATGTGTTTTTTTTTCTCCATTTGTGAAAGAAAAGATTATATTCTTATAGAACATGTTTTTTTATAAGAAAATTAAGGGCTTAAATATGCTAAGAAATAGGAAATGGAAATAATTTTTTGACATTGCTTTGTCAAAATAACTAGTGACATCTGGTCTTTATAACAATTATTAACCAAATTTCTCTCACATTAATGTCCAGCAGATGCGGATAACATGAAGAATTGCGGAAAAAATGGTCATAAACGTCATTTTGAGTAGCATTAAAATAAGCATTGAGTCTATCTTAGCCAATTGGAACTCTAGATTTTTACAATGTCATTAAATAACCAAACAGATGGATCATTCTTTAAAAAGGTATTCTAACTAATGATGAACCTCTCTTGTAAAAAAACAAACATTTAATGAGTGAACATAATTAAAACAATAATACTTTGTATGTGTTTTTATGCTTCCGAGCACGGCCATTCCTTTAAAAACACACAAAGAGCTGTACAAACACTTTTAAAAAAAACAGAAATTCCCACAGACGGCTGTGGGCCGTGCAGCCGTATTATCATCCATTACGCTGTGATCTCCACTAATAGGCCAGTCCACTGGCAGGCTAATTCAAGGGACTGATTAGCATAAGTGAGCTATGGCGTTCATTAGCCTTATCAAGGATTCATAAAGCTGACCAGAATGAATGGGATCCTCCACATGCTGTCCACCGCGAGCACTGAAGTCATTTACATACGCTGTGTTCTCTCTGCAATGACATACATGTAAACACTCTGATTCAGTACAGTGGCAATGAGGCCATCACTAGGTCAATTAAGGGGAAGTGTGTACACAAAGTATATATTCTTAATCAAATACTCCTCTATGAAGTGTAAAATAGAGCCAGCATGGTGGGGGGTCTGTCTGTTTCTGTTAGCATGGTTCTTTATTAGGAAGTGAAATATAAAGAAAGGCATTACAGGCTTTGATCAAAATGTGTCTGCATACATTAGTGGGAAATGAAAGAGATGTACACGAGCAACTAAGTGTACTGTAGGGCTTTGAGTCAGTAAAATGCTCTTGGTGTTATATAGATATTTTTGTTTATTTAAAATGTTAGTCTTGTGGAAATCAAATCTAATGTCATCAGTATGTTAAAGCTGCACCAATTACCTCCCCCAAGGGTGCTTTGTTTTCAGTTGGGTTTCCTTGACAGTGGGATTACGGAAAAATACTAGCCCTATTTTCAAAAGGGGCTATATTCACATATTTTCCCTTTTCATTAACATTGTGAGAAAGGGCGAGGCCGTAACAGATCTACACTTTTAGTTTATGGTTTTATGTGAACGATGCACCAAGAGCACAACAAACTATCATCTCTGCAGTTTCCCTTTAGCTCTACGGACCATTTTAGCGCCTTTCAGTTTTACTCCCTGCAACCTAGTACATCAGTTCACTCCCTCGCCAAAGTTGTGTCATGCAAGCAGCTGTTTTTTTAAAAAGCTTGCAGATACCTAGTTAAAGTTTTTTCTTGGTCTCCACTTGAGTTTTGGGATGGCCTAGGGGAAATACTATGTATTGCTTTAATGAGTTTAAAGCAATACATCGTTTCAACCAGGTGGGGAGGTTTTTCCCTGGACAATACGTTTTTTGGATAAAGTTACTATACATGCTATGCTGCTATGGCCTTACTGTGTCACTGTAATGCTGAGTGGGATGTAGTGTGTGTGTGTGTGTGTGTGTGTGTGTGTGTGTGTGTGTGTGTGTGTGTGTATATATATATATATATATATATATATATATATATATATATTGACACTGGGGTGTCTGGTTGAGTAATGGGGGCGTAGCAGAGTTTAGATGGCTTCTATCCTCCTTCCTATCCAGTGCTTGAGAAGGTCATCACTCATACAGACAGACGGAACGAGAGAGGAACGGTACTCATTCAGGCAAGAAAGACAGTGTGTGTGTGTGTGTGTGTGTGTGTGTGTGTGTGTGTGTGTGTGTGTGTGTGTGTGTGTGTGTGTGTGTGTGTGAAACAGAGAACAGAGGGAGGGTACTGAGAGGGACAAAGGAAGATGGAGGGAAAATGAGAAATTATTGGTGGACACAATGGGGGAAAAGATGAGTATTCTCGTCCTCCAATATCGTGTCATTCATTTATTTTAACATTTAAACATGCACTATGAAAACCACTAGTGCCATACAGATTATGTCACCTGATGAAAGGGTGGTCACACTTGGTTACAGTCTAAACAGAGATTGGATTTGGTGTAGAGTTTATCAGTTTTTCTCTTTTTGGTGGTAATCCAGATTGGATTCATGCCATTACTTGTTCTGCTGCAATTAAATTCTACTGGGAAAATCCAACATCAGTTGTTTGTTTAGTTTCCAGTTTTTCAAGTAATAGGTGATGTAGGCTTTGCACACAAAAAACCCCAGCCTTAAATGAGTCTTTACTTCCACTGAGGAGCAAAGAAAAGAAATGATTCAGGCTGTGATTGCAAGACACATCGCGGAGCTGCTCCACAGACACTGAATAATGGAAGGACTGCTCGCACTGGCTGCTCAAGATTACCCTGGGAAATGAGAAGTGTTTTACAGCAGGAAGCGCCAAATACTCTACAACTTAGAAAATAAAGTATCTCCGACCAGAAGACTGAGTGATGCTTAGCGCTATATGCCAACATCTCAAATTGACAATACTGAAAGTGAATGTATCAGAGCTCTGACTTAAACAAGGCCCAATAAATCAGATGACTCCGTAGCGGTCATTACTTTCAAACATGATTGTCATATCATTTAAACCCAGTGGCGCATTTGCCAAGTGTTGATGCTCCAGTTTACTAAAATTGCTCTTACATGTTTTTTTCAAATTTGAATAATTTTCATTTGAGAGTTGATCGTCAACCGACTACTGTTGTGGATAGTAAACATTTGAATATGCTAAACGTAACTGCTAGATATATCTTAATATCAAAGACAGTGCAGTGGTATTGATTTCCTTGTGTATATACAAATATCAAACTACTATGTATTATAAAATGAAAATTGCTTTGCTATACACAGATTAATGAATGGGGAAACACTATTTGTGAACGCAGGGTTTCTAATTCCTGATTCAAGTTTGCACATTTTGAGATTTAAACAGCTATTTATTATTTGCCGTAAAGCAGGCTATTGACAGATATAGATGTATTTAATTTCCAAAGGATGCAAAGAACCCAAACTAACAGTTCATATATTTAAAAATAATTTATTTAAGACATAATTTAATCATTTATAAAATAGACATCAGATATCCGATGTCTCAGACGTAAACAATTATTCAACACAGTACATACCCATGGGTTTCATTTTTCAGATGTTCATATTGATATTCATATGTCCATCCATCAGAAAGCCATCTTATCTGACAATGATGAATTTCTGTCTATCCGTCGCTTACCTTAAGGACCAATCATCTGATCCCCTGCACTCTTGTGTGTACAGGTGTAGTGCTGGGGACCTGAGAGAGAGAGTCATGCATGTTGTCCTGCAGGTCACTGTCGCTGCTGGATAAACGATGGCCCAGCATTAAGCCTGTTCTCTTTAAGGCATCTCTTGAATGGGCACAGCACTAATGAGTGAAAACCACACAGATCTCATGATTTAAAGACAGCCGTGTTGGCATAAGAAGCCAGAAGAATAAGGCACCTCCCGTCTGGTGGTGACAAAACGCTACGTCACCAAGCGCTCCCTCCTGGATGGTTGGTCCAAACAGTTCAGAGTGTCCGATGTTCCTGGCCGCATCCAGGGATCCATGGAGACCGTGTCTACGGAGCCTCTACGGTTCCCATTGTGAAGAGAAAACCCGGGAGGGGAGCAGTCGTCGTCGGATAAATCCTCTGGACCTGAAGAACGGGAGCAGGGAGACAGAGAGGGGTGCTGAAAGTTAAAGGGCCCTATTATGATAATTTTTCAGGTTCATTTTTGTATTTTCTGCCTCTACTGTGACATGTCTCCATGCTGTAATGTTCAAATAGCTCTTTATTGTTCTCATACTGCCTGTGCTGCAGCACCTCTTTTCACCCTCTCTGATCAGAGCTCTGATTGGTTAGCTGGCCGGCTCTGTTGTGATTGGTCAACTGTTTATAGATATTTCGCCCCTTAGCTTAGCCTATCACGTACAATGTGTTATAGTGCTAGCCAATAAAAGCGTGAGTGTTACATAGTGATGTCACTATGTTACAGAAGTAAACTAAGGAGTCCAATGGAGGCGTTTCAGGCAGGGGGGGGGAGAGAAACTCCCTCTGGAGGAAACGTTGGTATTTTGGCCTTTGCACTTTGCAGACCATTTACATGCACAAAAACCTACAAAACACACTTCAGGAAAGAGAAAACTCCAAAAAGCATAATAGGTACCTACCTCGTCACACTCCTTGAACTGTATTTAATATCTAAATAAATGGGAACATTATTTTCCCTCTAACTAGAAGCAGCAGTTTCGTGGATAACTTGTGTTTGCTGGGCCTTTGAAACCCATTAAAGCCCTTTTTTATTCAGACATCTATGTCAAATATTTGTTAGCCCTGGAAAACTGCTTTGCTGAGTTTTGTACTCTTGCAACAAAACTGCAATCAGTATTTCTGCATTTACCTAAAAAAAAAACACCAGACTTTCAAGTTGTACCTGCTGTGTTGCCACGACGACTAAGAGCCATGAGTTGAGCTGCCCTGTAGCTCCTCCCATCGCCCCGGGGCTCTACTTCCTGCTGCAGTCTTCCCCCTGAGTGGGCGGAGTATGCTTCATGTTGGCTGGAAGCTCCATCCTGAAATAAGCAGAGGACACAAGAATAAACCTCTGTGATTAAAGAAAACCTTAAGTTGTATCTTCCATAATTCATTCATGTGTGTGTGTGAAGTACCCGTGTGCGCTGTGGCTGTTTGGCCAGCCTCCTCCTCTCCCTGGCCGACAGCTGGGGGGATTTTTCCAGCTCGGGGGTGTGTGGGACTGGGAAGGCTTCACCTAGGCGGTCTGAACACACAATAAGAGCTAAATTAGTCCCAGGCAATTTAGTTCCACTCCTCTACTTTAAAATTGAAAGGGCACAATAAGTCGGGAATCATTGCCCACCAGAAGTGTGTTGCTCTGTCTCTATCCGCAGAGACCTTGCAGCCCTCCGCCTGGATTTTTTATTTTGCTGTGTTTGGGATATTTCTTGGCGTCAACCTCTATATAAATGAAGCGACCAGGTGCCAGATTGTAAACACAAGTCCAAGAGGAAAATACGAAAATAGCTGACGGTGCCAAAAAAACAAGAACTACAGCGAGGCAAAACAACAAGAGGACGGAAAGTGTGCACCGAGGTTGGCGAGCACCATAACGCTCGTGGTGCCATGCAGGAGGGCCGGCTTTGACTTTTACAGGAAGCAGAAAACAGATCCCACTCATTGTATCTTCACATGTTGGTACTGAATAGTTATATACATATCAGTTATCCCTCATAGAGTAAGCTGTACTGGAAACAGCAAACTAGTTTTAGATTAATCTATTGTCCAAATGTCTGTACCGCAAGTTGCAGGAGGAAACATTTCTTGTAAGTTTCAAACTACTCTATTGGCAGTACAAATCCTTTCATCAGGAGTTCTGCAGAATGGCGGTCTTACCGATGAAAGCGCTCTCTGACTCCAGCAGTGATCCTTGGGCAGACCCCCCCATAGCACTCCTCTGTAACAGAAACACAACTCTGTTCCCAATCCACCTCTAAAGCTACAAGTCAGTAATTACAGTTAATATAACATAAGATTCAAACCAAATAACTTACCAAATATTCATTTTGATGTAATGGGGACAAGTCAAAATAATCTGCAACACGACAAAAACGTACAGTAAATATTAATCAGATATATCAGTCGCCATAGACCCGAGTTAAATGGCATTAACATGTGAATAAGGAAACGAGCATATTGTCACAGGTGTGAATCATTTTTCTTTTAAGTTTTTTCAACTTAAGTTCAGTGTTAAAGCTTGTTGACGCAGTTGTGGTTTTTTTTCTGCTCTGGTCAAATTAATAATAACTTAAGTGCTAATCGTACTGCATGCAACATTTTGATGGTACAGAGTGTTTGACAGATGCTTCAGAATTGTGTGAACATGTATAACACCAGTGATGCTTGCGTTCAAGACTAGAAAATAAAATGTTTTCACTGATAAATCTCTGATGGAAACTGCAGCAAAGTTATATGGGAGCTCTTACCATCCTGGGCTGTAGACGTCTGGCTGTTCTGCTGATATGGATCCCTGTAGCCCCGCCTCCTCCAGCTGGCCACGCCTACCTCCTCCAGTTTAGGAACCTCACTGAAGCCTAGCCTGGACTCTCCGTCTGAATCACACACACATAGAGACCGGTCAATGATAACACTGTTGTTTTGTAGTGGAGTTAATGAACCCCGTTACGGCCCGTCCACACGGCGGCGTGCGTTGAAGCTTCAACGCTTCTGCCCATTCACTTTGAATGGGGTGACGTCACGCTTTGCCGAACTGCATTGTGGGAGCGTTGCTTCGCTTTGCTCGCGTTGCTCGCTTCAAAAGTTGAGCAATGTTCAACTTTTGAAGCTTTGGCGGAAGCGTCAGCCAATCAAATCATATGCCAGTACAAGCTCTAGCAAATCAAACCGCTGCTTGTGTGTCAGGGGCGGGAGATTCATGTGATTGGTTGTTGGTCGAGTTTCAGACAAGCTCACCGGCAAGCTTCAACGCACGCCGCCGTGTGGACGCTGCGTTAGCCTGTGCGCAGGGTTAGGAGGGTTACTTTGTAAATGTAATCAGTTACTGATTACTGATTACATGGCTCTGAAAGTAATCCGAATACAGTTACAGTTACGTGTCTTAAAAAAGTAACGTAATCAGATTACTTTTAGATTACTTTTGGATTACTTTCTTTTTCCATCACAGATGGGTATGTTTTGGTGAACAGGAGACACAAAAAGCAAAAGGAATGTGTTTTTACTGTTTTAATGGCTTATCAAGAGCACAACTGAAACACAACATCTGAAACGATGTAACAACATAATTAACTTTTTGGGGATGCAGCTTGGGATGTGAGGAGTGAGGGACACGGCTTAGAACGAGCGTGTCATCTTCTGTCCTGCCAGTGTTGGCAGGACATTAATTAAAATGTCAAACTCGGACTTCATTTTAAGGACATGTCGGCCAGGGGTGTAGAGCTATATTTGTTTAAGCACCGGATTGGCAAAACAGGAGAGTGTGTGCACCAGTCTGCCTTGATCTATGAATTCATGTCCGTGACTCTCACAGTATCTGCTGCCCACAGCTGTTTTATAGAAGGAACACCTCCTTCACTTCATGAAATCTCTGCAGCGCCAGGAGGCAGCGGGAGGGTTAACTCAGCCTCTGAGAAGACGAGCACGCAGTGCCTTTCACGCACCGCCTCACTGTGTTTACCTTCAGAAATAATCATTAGTAAGGCTAAAGAAAGAGCGATCGCAGGCTGATGTGTTTTAACCACTCACACGCGATTTAAACGCAGACTTGTGTTCCTCCATGTTTCGTTGTTATTGTTTCACTGAGCGAGCGGACCCGCGATTTTTTTTCAAACGCTTTTTTGGTCCATCTGCGGCGGTAATAGGTTTTGTGGGCTGTGATGATTCGGCTGTACCTTTAGTAATGAATATTAAATGTTGTGAGGAAATCTTTCCACCAATAATTAAGTAAGTAAGTAATCCAAAATGTATTCACTTCAGGTTTACCAAAGTAACTGTAATCAGATTACTCGTTTTTCAAATGTAACGTGAGCTGAATACAGTTACTTGCTTTTTGTATTCTGATTACGTAACACCGTTACATGTATTCCGTTACAACCCAACCCTGCCTGTGCGTTACCGGTGTATTTGAGCAGAAGGGAGTCGTGGATTCGCTGCAGGTTTCTGGGCTCCGGGTTTCTGGAGTTGGGCCTTCGGACCGGAGCCTGGAGCCGCAGCCTCGCCATTTCAAACACATCCACCGGGGGGCGCTCCCGCTGTCTGCATAAATAAAGACAAGAACACAAACAAATGTACTCAATAGTTTCTCAATAGAGTTGTGCAGTGATGACACATTTTGCTAGGCTGACCCGTAAATTCGAAATGGCTCCCTGAACTAAAAGCAATGGGATTTTTCCAGTGGATTTTGGAATACTGCAGAAAATAATCTCTGTGGCAAACACACGTTTTGTACAGCAGGATAATCTCCACATATTACCAGTAATTTGTGATTTTCAAGCGTAAACACAATCACCACAATGAATAGATAACAGCTATTTTATGTTGTAGAAAAAACTTTAAATTCTCTTCCGCTTGTTTTAACAACAGTCCTTATTTAAGGCATCTTCATTTAATTTCAAACCTTTATTTATACAGATAAATCCCATTGAGATCATTGATCTCTTTTTCAAGGGAGACCTGCTCAAGTAGTTCCACATGAAACATAAAAACATAAATAGAACAACAAAAGGACATCATACAGCATCATTTACATAATTATCCACATAAACAGGTACCAACAGCTTCCGATTGACTAGCATCCAACCGAGCTTTAAAAACATTTAGTGGCACCAGATTGCTCAGTTTCCATTTAATTTGCAGACTATTCCAAGACAGAGGAGCTGCGCATCTAAAAGCTGTCTTCCCTAACAGTACGTCCACACAGCAGCTTTTCAAAAATCTTGAAAATCTTGGAGCTGGGCATTCCTGCTACATTCCATGCTGGCTAATGATACTGTCTATGCTTGCTAGCAACGAAGTAAACTAGCAACGAAGTAAACTGGATATAAAATCCCCAAACAAGCGAAAACCTATCAGTTTCCCCCACTGTCTCTGCCACCTCCCTCCATGCCTGGTTCCTCCGGTTTGTATCCCGGTAAGTAAATAAGGACTGGTCATAAAGAACCGGGTGATTTGCTACCGCAATAACTAAGTTCTCCTCCATTTTTGTGGAATATAGAATGAACTGCGGTCTGGCTCTCCCAGCTTGCACGCGGTTTGATTGGCTAGCGCTTGAACTGTCAGATTTGCATAAACGGGATTTGATTGGCTGACGCTTCCAGCTCAGCTTCAAAAGTTGAACATTGCTCAACTTTGAAATCCTGAAAATCCTGGAAATCTTTGCCTCGCCCCCCCACAATGCAGTTCGGCGACAAGCGAGGGAAAGTGACGTCATCCCCATTCAAAGTCAATGGGCGGAGACGCGCTGGAAGCGGTGGACAAATCGCCAAAAGCTGCTGTGTGTACGGGCCGTAAGACAGTCCTAGCAGTTGGCACATTTAATAAAACCACAGCATGCGATCTCAGGCAGTAGCCACTTACAATTTTCCGTGAGATCAGGGAGCAGATATAAGATGGAAGTTTCCCTAACATGGCTTTGTATATAAAAATGTACCAGTGACTGAGCCTCCGTACAGTTAGTGAAAGCAAACCAGCCCTTGCATACAGGGTACAGTGATGGGTTAATGCTTTACAGTTTGTCACAAATCTCAGTGCGCTGTGATACGCAGCATCTAACTTGACCAGGCAATGGGCAGGTGCATTCATATAGATCAGATCACCATAGTCCAGCACAGGTAAAAAGATCACAGTGACTAGCCTTTTCCTGGCTTCAAGCGAGAAACAGGACTTGTTCCTGTAGAAGAAACCTAGCCTAACCCTCAGCTTTTTAAGCAGGTTATTTACATGAAGTTTAAAAGTGAGACAATCATCAAGCCAGATACCAAGGTATTTGTAACAGGTAACCACTTCAAGTTTTATTCCTTGCGTAGTTACAATATCTAAAACAGGCTCTGGTGTCTTTTTAGCTTTAGAAAAGAGCATTAACTTGGTTTTCTCAACATTTAAAAGAAGCTTTAGTTCAGAGAGCTGAGTCTGAATAATGTTAAAAACAGCTTGCAATTCAATAACAGCCTCCTTAATGGAGGGACCTGCACAGTACATCACGGTATTGTCCGCATAAAAATGTAAAGTAGCTTCATCCACATTTTCACTTAAACTGTTGATGTATATGGAGAATAAAAGTGGACCTAAAACAGAACCTTGGCGAACACCATTTGCAATGTTTAACCACTCAGAAGACAGCCCATCAAAGTGAACACATTGGGACCTTTCAGAGAAGTAGTTCACAAACCACCCCACTGCATGGCTGGACATGCCTATACTGGCTAGCCTCTGCTTTAAAATGTGATGATCGACGGTATCGAACGCTTTGGAAAGATCAATAAACAGAGCTGCACAACTCTGCTTATTATCTAAAATACTCGCCACATCATTCACCACTTTCATTGTCGCAGTGATGGTGCTATGTTGCTTTCTGAAGCCTGACTGATGTTTAGACAGGATATCATTTGTACATAAAAACACCTTTACCTGTTCACTCACTAAGCGTTCAAGAACCTTCGCCAGAACTGACAACTTAGAGATTGGCCTATAGTTATTTAATAAGGTGGCCTCCCCTCCTTTTAGCAAAGGCAGGACATACGCTGACTTCCACAATTTTGGAATTGTGTTTGAGCTGAGGGAGAGGTTAAAAAGTGTAGAGAGAGGTGGAGCAATAAAATCTGCAGCTATCTTTAAAAAGAAAGGTTCTACGTTGTCCGGGCCAGCCGGTTTCTTAGGATCTAACTTGGTTAAAGCTTCACGAACAACATCAACAGTAAAAGGGGTAAAACTAAAAGGGTTTTCCAACACACGTTTTTCAGAGTCACATACTGTAATGTTCACAGAAGCAGAGTTAGTGACAGAATCAAAAAGAGAACCACAGGACACAAAATGCTCATTAAAGCAATTTAGCATAGTAGCCCTGTCTGATATAGTGCCAGATGCTGTGGTAATGCACGGAGGTAGCTCATTACGGATATCGCCGGTGGATAACGATTTAATGGCTTTCCAACATTTTCCGGGATTATTCAGATTCTTTGTGGTTACTGACCGATAGTACTTTGATTTAGCACTTTTGACATTTGAAGTGAAGCTATTCCTTAGCTGCCTAAAACGCAGCCACTCTACCTCTGAGCCTGATTGCCTAGCCTTTGCCCAGGCCTTGTTTCTCTCATGAAGGAGACTAGACAGCTCAGCAGAAAACCAAGGATTGTCTCGTCCCTTTACTCTAAATGTACGCAGGGGTGCATGTCTATCAATGATCTCCATAAAACCAAGATAAAAATAAGACCATGCGGTTTCTGCATCAGCACACAGATCGATTTTACCCCAATCAAAATCAAACAGATCATGCACAAAACCCTGCTCCACAAAATGTTTTTTGTCTCTCTTAATGATAATGCGAGGTTTAACCTTTTGGACCTTAGTGTCCCTAATTGTGGCTACAACACAGTGATCGCTCAGATCATTTGCAAATACTCCCACAGATGAATATTTATGGGGAACATTAGTTAAAATGAGATCAATTAGGGAGGATTTATTAGGGGACTTAATGTTAGGGCGAGTAGGACTGTCCACAATCTGAGTAACATTTAAAGAGATACAAAGGTTTTTAAAATCCTCTGACACTGCAGTTAACCAGTCCCAGTTAAAATCACCAAGTAGCACTATTTCCTTGTAGTCTAGTTGTGATAAAATATTTGCTAGTGAAGACAAGGAGTCCTTGACAGCTGAGGGGGGTCTGTAACAGCCCACCACCATGACCTGTTGCCCCTTTGCCACTTCTATATTTATGGCTAAAAATTCAAATTGCTTACTGATCGATTTGGAAACTAATGTGGTTACACTGAACTTATTCTTAACATAAATGGCAACGCCACCATCTTTATTAGGCCGGTCGGTACGATACACATTAAAACCATTTAATGCAATGTCAGAGGCCAAAATAGATTTGTTTAGCCATGTTTCTGATAAAACAATGACGTCAGCGTCAGTTGAGCTCACCCAGATACGGACAAAATCTAGTTTACCTAACAGACTGCGCACTTTCAAGTGGATGAAACCCAACCCAGACCTAGCTTTAAAATCAGCAGGAGTAGCGATCTGACTACTACTGCTGCTGGGCGGACCAGGGTTAGGTTGTACATTTCCTGACAGTAATAACAACAACAAAAACAGGCATATTTTCCTCTTAAACGACACACATATATTGTCATCTAATTTAGAAACACCGGAAAAATCTGCGAGAGTGTGATTTGAGCTTAAGAAGCAGTCCTGAAGAACCATCATTGCAGGAAAACAAAAAAGACAAACATATTTTGTCGAGCAGATTGTCTGTGACAAGGCAACCGGTAATTGTTTGAGCAACACATCCGAACCTTTGCAGGGGATGCCCACTGCGGGTGGCAGAACAGACCTGAATCCAGTAGACTTCTCAGAATGACTAGAGATCTTCTCATAGTCCAAAACAGTTAACAGGCACAGCAGAATCCCGATATGGGCCATTTTCCCAGACCAGCACACAGTATCCGCGATGTTCCTGGAGCAAAATCAGCACAGCAGCAAAGGACAGGCGAAAACAGCAGCGTGGAAGCGCTCCGGTCCCTCCGTGGTATCCCCGGGGTGAAAGCAGGCCTCTGCAACAGCAGAACCAGGACAGGTGGAAAGCAGGCCCCAGCGGTGGTAAAATCCTCCTCCGCACAGCAGCACACGCCCGGTGGAAGCAGGCCAAGCCCGAAGCGTGGATCCACTCCGTCTCTCCGCGACGACTCCGGGGTAAAAACCTCTCCAGTACAGCCGTATTCTACAGGTGGGAGCAGGCCTCCGTAGATCGCAGAATCGCAGGCAGCAACAGGTGGAGCCGCTCCGTCTCTTCGCGACGAGCAGGCCTCCGTAAATCGCAGATCTCATGCAGCAACAGGTGGAGCCGCTCCGTCTCTTTGCGACGTCTCCGGAGGAAAAACACCTCAGTACAGCCGTACTCGACAGGTGGGAGTAGGCCTCGGCAGATCGCAGACAACTAAAACTACTACTTGTATAAGCAGGGATGGCTAAAAGTTTGTAAGCAGGAGAGCTAGATGCTAACAGATGCTAACAGGTAGTGCGAGCCTGTAGAAATTGCGACTGCATTGATCAAATTAATTAATCTAAAGAAAAACACATTGAAATAACATTGACTTCAAGACTAATTTCTCAAAATTAATTTTGGGTTTCAGGACCAGTGTTGGGTGTTGCTGTAATAATATTACATTTGTCGGTAATGGAGTAATGTAACGCGTTACTGTTATAAATTTAGTAATCACACTACAGTTACTAACATTGCACGAAACGCGTCTAACTTTTAACATTTTAAATATTTCAAGTCGCTAGAGGGATTTCCACCGCAGGTTTATATTTGTGCGACTTGTCCACATGCAGCTGTCACAGGGGTTGAGCTGCAGACTGAGACAGAGTCATCAACAGCTATAACTTTCGAGGGGTGGAGGTATGCCCATTATTTTAAATTTGTCAGAAGAAAGGACAGGAATGTGACGGTAAGGTGCACTGCTGCAAACACAACAACATCAAACCTCTCCAAGCACCTGCAGAGGCAACATGCTAACACGAAGCTAGTAGCTAGTAGCTAAAGACCCCGAACCCAGAGTGATGATGAGTGAGTGCCGACTCCGAACAAGCAGCAAAAACTAGAATTTTCACCGTTATTAACTTGTGTTATGTCTTCCTTATTGCAATAGTAATTGTGCACATGTAGGCCTAAGTTTTAAGTTTTGGCTATAGGCTGTTGCTGAGTAACGCAAAAGTAATGTAAAGAGTAACGAGTTACTTTATGTAGAGAGTAACGAAGTAAAGTAATATATTAATTTTATTTAAAGTAATGAGTAATATATTACTTTTTATGAGTAATGACCCCATCACTGTTCAGGACATATTCCATCACCCCTCTATGTAACATAAAACAGCAGAAGAAAAAGCACAACAACTTGAGGATAAAAAGTGATTTAAATTATCTAATTGATCACAGCAACTGATCACCAACTACAGGTATATCTATGTGGAGTGAGCTATCAGTGAGTGAGTTATGTGACTGACCTGTCACTCAGAGGAGACTCTGGCTCCTCCCACTCTCCGTGCTGCAGACGCTTCTGCTCATTGCGCAGCTGGTGGCGCAGCGCTGACAGCTCACTGTACACTTCCCACTGGTCACCTGAACACACACACACACACACACACACACAGTCTGCTTTTTAATTGAGTTTTCACTAAAACACCAATTCTCATTAATAAGTTGAACTAGTTGATAATATCACAGAGGTGAAACACTAAGGCAATGATCCAGGAAGTGGAACAAGTTGTGCTACCTGTTTTTACAGGTAGCACAACTTGTTGACTTGTTGATATTAACAGTCTATGCATTTCAAAAGGAATGATATAGTTACAGTGTAAATTAAATACAATATAAATAAAACAACATACCAAAAAAGGATTAGCAATAATTTATAGGATACAGGTAACAGATAGAGGATGAATCATTCATTCTCATAAGTACATTACTTGTCATATGTACCTGAAGGGTCAATAATATTGTTTTGTGTTGTGTATTGTGTCAAATTAAGGTCAAACATTTAACCTTATAATAATGAATAATTCTCATGGTTATTTATTTACCTGCGGCTCGGAGCTGATTGCGTCGGGCGGGGACAGGAGGGGACTGCAGGCCTGAGAACGAGAGCTCCTGGAACACAGAGAAAACATGAAAAACAAAGATACCAAAAGGGGGAGAAAACACCTCCAGGAAAGGTTTCTGAAAACAGATCCTCTTTTCCACAAGTCTTTGCTCAGTGTGTGAGAGACTCACAGACAGGGGGGCAGAGGACTGCTGGCTGTCCACAGTGGGGGGTCTGGGGGTGTACTGTTGTCGTCCATGTTTCCCCTGCAGGGCGGGGATTGGAGGGGAGGGCTGCCTGTATACCTGAGGACACACAGATAGACAAATAGGAAATATTAAGAGCGGCTAAAAGACGGCATTAATGGGGAATAAACTGTACAGTCTGTTTCAGATGAGTGTGAAATAAATTGCTCTTACTTAGAATCCCCCTGTTTAGCATTTATTAAAATTATATATATCATTTTACATTATGAGTGTTATAAACAATGAATTACACAAATATATATATATATATATATATATGTGTGTGTAATTCATTGTTTATAACACTCATAGTTGTAAACAGACATTTAGATTGTTTATTAATGACAGCATTAATGACAGCAATAATCAGAATACTTCCCAGGGGAAATTGGGAATAAAAAAAAATAAAAAAAATAAAAACATTAAACAAGTAACAAGTAAAATGTTAGATAAAGGATCAAATAAAACATAAATATGTATATAAAGTTAAATAGAAAATGTGCACAGGGGCTTCTGTTGTGTACAACTGTCTTTTACCATTTTGTCATCATCTCTTTATACAGCAGCCACAGGAGGAGAACCATTTGATTGAAAGGGCAATATAGATGAAAGAAATATCCAAATCACAAATTCAAGGACCTGTACCAAACAAAGTCATTCAATTGAAAAAAAATGAGATCATTATTTTCCAAAATCTTAATAATAATTACAATATTTCCCTGTCAGTGAACTCACCTCGTCCACCCGGGCCTGCCTCTCCCTCTCGTACTGCCTCCTCACCGCCTCCCTCTCCTTCTCCTCCGCTTCCTTCTTCTTCATCTCCGTGTCATTCTTCCTCTGCTCAGCCAGCTGAGTCAGCTCTTCATTCTTCGCCTTTAGCTGAGACAATAAGAGAGAACATTTTTTTATTTTAAGCAACCTTTAATGAAGCGCAAATATTTATCAGATCTTCTTGTAGTCTTGTATATTCAATAATCAAGAGCAGTTATTGAACATAAGTGTGAACCCTCCTCACCTCCATCTCCTTGCCTTTCTTCCTCTCTTGCTCTTCGTCGTACTCCCTCTGGATGCGAGCTCTCTGCTCCGCCAGCCTCTTCTCCTCTTTCTCCTCCTCCAGCCTCATCTGTTCCTTCTCCTCTGCCTTTTTCAGCATCTTCTCATCAATCTGGAAACAAACGCAGATTCATTACAACAGAAATCCATCAACCCAACTCCAAAACAACCTTTACTTATAGGCGGAACCAAATGAACATATTTCTGTTTTGTTCTGGTCAACTCTAGTTTCCTTTTGTCTACAAGCCACAAGCTTTATTTCTACAGACAGAGAGAGCAAGAGTTGAAGGTGTGCCTGCTGTTTGAGGTAAGCTTTGTACTGGTCCTGCTCGTGGAGCTGTTGCTGGCTGGGCTGGTTGGAGAACACGCTGCCTCGTGCAAACTGAGGGGTGGCGACAGGGGTGAAACCTGCAAGAAAAAGAAACATGAGGATATTCAACACCAGTAGAGCCAAATCAAATCAAGCTGTCACTAAGCAGTGGCTGAGGACATCAGTGCTGTAAACCTGTATTTACAAGTCCAGGCTTTTATTTGCTTCTATCACTAAACTCAACCATAGATAGTAATAGGCCTTTCATTTCTATTGCACAACTTCCTGTTTATTTTGGTATTTAAAAAAAAAAGAAGTAGGTTCAGTTATGAATCTTTTGATCCGGCTCAGAGAAAGTAAAAAAGGATTGCTTTTACGGCAACTGAGGATTAATGGCACCTGGCATACGGACACAACACCTCTATTTATTATCTTGAAACGCACCTGGCCGTCAGGGAAGAGTGCTTTGGCATTTCAAAAAGGGAAGAAAAACAAACAAATACAGCTGGGGACAATGCTTTGGTATCAAGCAAAGTAACAAAAACAAGCAAATCCAACCATGTTTGATAAATAGTTGGCAGACATTGAGCCTTTGACTTCACATAACAATATCAACAACCTCTGATTTTTCTAAACCTTTTTTTTATTTATTCTTTTGATCTGTGGATGCTGGAGGATCAAAGAAATCTAAATGAATTGGATATTGGAACACATGCTTATAAGAGGAAGCGGAGTCACTACCTTTTAAGCCTTTTGCCTGTAAATCTGAATAAAATAAATGTTGTTGCTCATAGTTTTCTCAAATAACTGAACTCTTGAATTGTTGAGTATCTAAAATATAAAGATCCTTATTAAAAAAGTTATTCGGCATCCATTTGAGACCTGCGTTTATTTGTCAAAACTACAATCCACAACGGGCAAGTAAAGGTTTGAAAGCATATTAAAAGATACAACGGAAACCATTGATGCCATGCTGTGGTGCTAGGGTTAACTTTTCACTTCAAAAGCAAACTTGACATTTTTCTTTGTAGACTGAAAATGAGCAAATGAGTCGGCAGAGCAGCTATTTTACAGTGACTATATTTTGATTAAAATATCCCTGTTTCAAATGTTTCATGTTGTAGTGCAGGCTGTAAATGTACCAATAAGTATGGAGGAAAGACAGTTACCGTACCAGAGAGCCTGTCACTGCTGTCATGGCTGCTGCGCTCTGCCACAGTACCAGAGACCCTCTCGCTGGGGTCCGGCAGCTCTGCCCGGGGGGCCGTGGCTCTCCTCTGCCACTGCTCCGGGTTCATGTAGGCCTCCTCGTTCAGTTTGTGCATCTGGTTAAGGTCAGCTGGCCAGGGGAGAGGGAGGGAACAGAGTATGTGAGTTTTGATGAAACGGGAATAAATACCTTTCACAGTTTGGTCTAATACAGACAGTATGCTGTGACACACCGATGAGGTTTCCTGTGCAGTCTCTGAGGGGGGCTCCTCCTCCCCCCCGGCCCCAGGGCTGGTGCTTCTTTATGTCGGCCTCCAGCTTGGCCTCGTACCGCTCCCTCTCCTCGATCTCCACACGCCTCTGCTCCTGCTGCTCCTGGATCTAGAGCACAGTGTTTTTTTTACTGAACCAGGGATCAATGAGCATACAATGGTGTAATAGCGTAATTGCAGGGGGGGGGGGGGGGGGAAGAGTTTTAAATTAATAATAACAATAATTCTAGCCGAGATTAAAGTTGCTTTCTAGTGAATCATGTTACTCTCAAACAAATGTATCATGATGCTAACTGTGCAAAACCAATACATATAAAAACAAATATATCACATTTGAATTCAATCGTACCTTTAATTAAACAATTGGTACATTTTGAGGTATAATTAGTAGCAACTTAATTTGCTAATTTTAGTTCAATTTAATGTCAAATATAGATTCCAGGTGCAACTAAACAGATGCAGGTATCCCACAAGGCACAGAACATGGGACCCCACAGTTCCTGATTTGTCTGGCACATGAAACTCTGTTATAGGAGTGTGGGGCGCCACGGTAAACATCTCAAACCAGTATTTTTCTTTTTGGCTTATGTCTTTAGTCAGCTTGAAATCCAAAAGGACATTTTCCTTCTAGAAAAAACAACAACATGTGTATTCTCACAACTCATACCTCGTAAATGTGATGTCCTTTGGTCTATGTATTGGTAGAAGCATAATCATACACTCTGTGATGTCCTAATAAAGAGATATTTGTACTGTGACCATAGTGAGTAATCACATTACAGCAACAAAATACATTTCAAACATCAGTCCAACGAACAAAGTACTTTGTGTAAAGCTTTTTGTGTGAGCCTGCAGTGAGAATGTAGCACAAAAATGCTTTAAAGGCGTAGTAGAGGATTTTCTTAATCTTTAGTAAAAAGAGGAAACATGGGACTGGGATGGCATTCAGGAGGCACTGGGACAGTAGGTAGCAGCTGAACAGGAAGAGATACACTTATACAGCTAACTCTATTTACACAATAATGACTGTCTATGGGGGACACTTACACTGCAGCTCTGAGTCTAAACTCAGTTTCATTTTTACCTGGTTGTAAAGCTCGCTGTTCCCTTCCATAGGCGCTTCCTGTCAACATATTACAGACTAGGATGCAGTGAAAGTTAAAAGCTACTGGTTAACACTTTATTTCATACGCCCTTACAATGTTGTTTCCAACTAAACAGGATCCAAGCAAAGGTGATGATGTCAATGCTGTAACACAGCCATTGTGGTTATTGTACTCCATTATAAAAGCTGATATGATGTGTTAAAAATATCCAACATTATGAAAGTACAAATCCTTTACCATCTCTGAATATCAATGTTCAAAAGCTACATTTCTAAATGCATGTTTTCTCCATTTTGACCAGTATTCTCTGAAAATGGTTATATATGATATTTTAAAAAGGTGCTTCTTTGGTTCTATGTATAATTTAAGATTAAATCAACAACCGTCAACGTTTTGCTGTACTTCAAGTCTTTAAGTCTCAGCCTGTCGATCAAATCGTTGTTTGGGTATCTTTGGAAGAAAATCACAAATTGAAGTTTCAAGCAAGCACATGCTGGGTGAAATGATGTGCTGAAGCAAAATCACATTTAATAAAGTTTCTGTATCGTAGCTGTTCCCTAAAATGACAACGAAATAAAAACAAGTTAACCTCATAGTGTTGCAAGGGTAGGGTGTACCATGGCTCCAAAAGACACCAATAATGCGGCTTTCACTCCAGCGCTTTTCCCTTTCTAGCTCCGAGCGGGAGCTTTTCTGGTTCAGCTCCGGTTCCCTTTTCTGCTCCCGCTCTGTTCACACCGCCCAGAGCTGCCGCTGCTGCGTCATGACGTCACCGTTTACGTGCCTGCTTCATAAAATCCAAACCGCGCGGAAATCCCTTACATCGACAACAACAACAATGGCCGATTGTATTGAAGCGCTGTTTGCTTTGGTTATCCTCTTACGAAACGAAATGGAAGGCATCGGACGACTTTACAAGGGACGACTTTACTTGGAACTTTACAAACATCACATGCGAAATGCAAGACTTCTTTGTGGTCTTCAGCATCTACTTCAACGACGAATCTGCCCCTGACTCGACATAAGAGAGACGTAAGCGACGCCGCCTCTTAGCTCCGAAGCTCTTGCCTCTATACCAGTGGTTCCCAACCTGGGGGGCGCCAAAGATCGCAGGGGGGGCGCCAGGCCTCAGATGATTTGAGGCCAAATATCATATTTAGACTTTTTTTATTTTTTTACATATAATTGTAAAGCAATACATGATTGTCACTAAAAGCCTTGTCTCTACATTACAATAAATATATTTAAAAAAAAATTGATTAATTAATTTGAATAACAATTCAAGTTAGTAGCTAAAGGCATAAAAAGACAGAAATGTATAATTCTTTCTTTAATAGAAATGTTTCTTCTGCCCGTAAAGTGTCCAAACCAGGCTTTTCTGGATAAGTGCATTTTTAAAAACATAGTCATTGTCCATGCCGGTTTCAGTTGGATTATTTGTCACAGTTGCTCCGATTAGATCGGTCTCCTCCATTTTGTAGATTATTTACGACTTTTAAATCCACATAAACACATCGGCAAAATCCGGCTTACTTTGATTATGTGTTTTAAACAGTTTAATCCCTTTGTGAATTGTTTCCACTTCCGCGCCGTCCTTTAATTTCTTCATACAGCGGGAATCCAAATGAATTAATCCTTAGTCCAATAACCATCAAAGTCACTCCAATAGTGCTCCTTAATTACGCTTTCATCCTCCTTTAACAAAATACTTCACATTCATCTAGTTTGTGACAGTAGTTGTAGAATTTTTGAGAGTTTTAAACTTTAATTACCGCTGTTGCGCCCCCCCCCCTTTTGTGTGTGTGTGTGTGGGGGGCGCAACTTCCAACAAGAGTCATTTGGGGGGGCTCTTGGGAAAAAAGGTTGGGAACCCCTGCTCTAGACCGACAATTTTTTGGAGCTGGAAGTTAACCGGATTCCGGAGCTAAGAGGCGGCACCTCTGCGGTGTGAACAGGAAAAACCGGTACTTTTCAGGCTCCAGCTCCGAGCCAGAGCTGAAAACGCGTTGGTGTGAAAGGGGCATAACAGGTATTCTCTACCAGAATTAGAGGGTTATCTAAAAAAAATGAAATCAACTTCTGTAAATCTTTGTGTCTCCTCCAGAGTTTTTATATATATTAATGCTGTCAAAATTATCACGCTAACGGCAGTAATTAATTTTTTGAATTAATTGCGTTAAAATATTTAACGCATGTGCAGAATGGCCCGCCCCATACATCCCACCAGTGGCAGCACCAGGGTATACTGGGGTAGGCTACAGCCATACCAAGAAATGGCTTGGCCCCACCATGAAAAATGATGTTAAAGGAAGCAAAATAAAGTCTGCCAACTCGCGCCGAGAATTGCACAGACAGCAGTTAGTACGATTGATTTCAGTAGCCACTTGTCTGGAAATACAGAAGACCAGAAACAGTTTTGAAAACTTTTGTCACGTAGTGATCGTCTTCTCAATAGAACATCTTTGATAATGTCTTCTGGCCAATCAGAATCAAGATAACGGCGTGGTGTTGTTGCAGGAAGTCCCGACGGAGAATACTTTTGCTGTAGTACAGGGGTGCACATAACTGGTACGCAGGTACGCATGCGCGGTGCGTGTATAAAGGTCACAAAGTGCATTTGCGTACCGACGTACTTGTGAAGCTTTTCCAGAAGGCGGTTAGATCACCGGACGACAGAGTCGGTCTCCGTGTGCACAGACAGGGCTGCTGTTAACGTCGGTCTGTACAACGGAATTGTGCCAAAACTACGCCAATCGGCTGCGGAGGGAGACTCCCCCCCCCTTCACTGGAGAACTGCGCTAAAACAGCTGATCACAACGTTGATAGAAATTAACACGTAATGAAATAAGACCCCACGGTTTGATGATTGATAGGTGCTGTCTTTGATTTTGACACACAGAACAATGTTATAATAAACATACATACATACATGTATGTTAAATGGATATATCCGCCTTCTTTCATTTATCTTTCCATTCCCACAACAATATACATAAATAAATGGCATATTTTGGACATAGTTCGAATGGTGATTAATCATGATTAATTAATTTTTAAGCTGTGATTAATCTGATTAAAAATTGTAATCGTTTGACAGCCCTAATATATATATATATAAATAAAAGATTATTGAGCACCGTCCTGCCACAAACTGGGCTCTACTTTTACAATACTTGTTTGACGGCCGACGTACAGCAAGGGATCAACTGATGTTTGTGCTGAATAGAGACGATACAGATCAGTTAAAAACGCTTTGATCACCTGTTACTGATCGCGTCAGTGCATCCCTAACAGTTCTAGCATTGAGTTAAGAGAAAAAAAAATATTGAAAACACTACATGAAACCTACCTGTTTCTTCAATTCTTCTCTGTAGCTCAGAATCCTCTCTCTGGTGGATCTGGATCTGTCTGAGGGGAAAACTCTGAGCTGTGAGCCAGCAGCACACTCATTCCTCAGCCTGTCATAAGGGAAGAAAAGAAAAAAACACCATTATGTTTTTTTGTCCCGTTAGACATGATAATCTTATTTACAAGTAAGAAAATAAATCTGGAAATCCAATTTATTTTCTTACTGGCCTCCATAAATATGATTTATTTCCTGTGTTTATGACTTAAGAACAGGACTTTAAGCAATCCCATATATAACGTGAGCAAGTTATTTGACATGTCTTTCATGTGTTTTTGTTCATAAAGCAAATATTGCCACTTTGATGTTGGCTGCTAATACATGTTCTGACCCTGCTTGCAGGCCACAGTAGTGAGAAGTGAAGGAGATATTTACTGTGTAGGGGGCTCAGGGCAGCAGCTCCCACTGTGCTGGCTGTGAGGGCTGTGGTGACCTAGCTGGCTAGGCAGAGCTCCCCCTGGTGGGAGGTTCCAGTAGGACACGGGGAGACCGGCACCGGGAACAGACAAGTGACCGTCTGGAAAAATCAAAACACATTACAATAATTAAGTAAATGCTAAATGTAGCTTTTTATAGCCTAATACCTTTTGTGTACCAAACGTGTGAAACACATCTCACAGAGGAGCTTACAGTAGGCGGCCATGTTGGGCCCCAGCAGGTTTCTGGAGCCGTAGTAGTGATGGGGCTCTCCGTACGGGCTCCTGAACGCCTCAGTTGAAGGAGGATGAGGAGGAAACAGAGGGATTCTGGAGACACAACGTAAATATCATATAATCACTGATGTTGTTTAATCTAAAGGTCTCTGCAGATCTAATGTTTCTGGTTGTATCTAAAGATTTCAGTGTTCTATATTATCTAATCTAATAAAAATCTACACAGTATGATATATTTAGGTCAAAATCCTATCAGGTTGAACGTTCATTTATACTCGATTACTTTTGAAATGACTCTGCAACAAGTTGACAAAAAAAAAATCATTCATTCATTCTTTAAATCCTTAAGATGATCAGGAAACACACAATTGCCTTACAAATCCATGAGAACATTTTGCAAGCCTGCAATATATATTATTTGTTTATGTTTTAAGATAAAATGTATGCAACAATGTTAATGCTACTGTGACGTTTATAACAAATGTCCCCCTCACTGTTCAGTAGTCACTCTCCTCAAGCCAAATGGAAACAGTTACAATTAAGGTTGCCTTTTATTGTGAAAAGCTCACAGGAAATGCACTCATGTGTTCATTTATGGCATTTTTTATGTTGTATCAGTTCTAAACAATACAGCTTTATTCATAAAGCACTTTAAAACCTCCAGACCAAAGTGCTGTATAGTCAAATAAACTGCAAGGTAGGTAGATTAAACATGGCGAGTTGTTATATTGAACTTAGAGCTGAACACTTTTTTGGCTTCTTTCTTGTTTTTATTTAGTTAGAACTGCACTTGCTGTTACCCCAGTGACCACATGTGTCATCAAATCAACCGAGACTAAAATCCTGAACATTATATCTTGATGTACAATGAGAGGGCTACCTGGGGGTGTCCGAGGCTCTGGGGAAGGAGGGGGGGGCAGGCTGGCTGTTAGGGGACAGGCTGAGGGTGGAGCTGTACTCCAGCCGGGGGGACTGGAAGGCCACGTGGGGCAGCTCGGGGGTAGGAGGCGTCTCCCTCTCTCTGACCCCCACCCTCACATTGTTACAGAGCACTCTGAGGGAGCCGTCACTCTCTCCTGGGTAGCCCCTCCTGCCCAGCCCCAACTGTCTGATCCTGTCCGGCTGGTTTGTGGATGGAGACAACATTTAAAGATAAACAAATATAACGTATTCAGCATGTATTAATAATCGTTTTGATATCCCCACTTATTTATGTATTTATAATAATTAATTCAAATGCCATATGTGGAAACTCTTGCTTGAAAATGTCCCTTTTCCAGTCACCTATCATGAAAGATCATCATAACATTTATTCTCAGTTAGAGATGACATTTTTCCTGGCGTTATTAGCTAGACCTGTTAATAAACAGTTTATAAAAAGCCACCTGGCCCGGCATAATACCTTTACAGGTGGTCTGTCCTATTTATGCTTAAACACACTATGATGAACCCCCCCCGCTCATTTTAGTTTCTTTACTATCTTATGTCAATGCCTTGTCTGTTCAATTAAAACATCTCTATGTAAATCAGGTATCAAAAAAATTAAAATGTACAAAAAGTCAGTGAATTTAAAAATGTATACTCCATCTTCTTGAGCCAATCCAAATGACCTGACTGACCTGTTTCTCAGGATCATTTGCCCCGGTTGCAGCAACTTTCAGCCCAAAATCTTTCTCCCTGCAACAAAGACAAAACATATTATATATATAGCAATTAATGACACTCATACACAGAGATGTTCAACAAGAGAACACGTGGAAGTCCTCTCCTCCATTACACTACGGAAAAAACTCATTCTTTTTGACTGACACATTAGCTGATGCCAGGATTGTAGCAACCCGCATCTTATATATGGTCAAACATAAGATCATTTCTAGTAGTAGAACGTTTTCTATTGTTAGAACACCGATATGTCTGTTCTTCAGGTGTTACATTGTGCATGCACAGAGAACAATGAGAGAGGACACCTCTTCTTGATCATGTGCTGTTCAGCGATCTGCTCCTGCAGCTCCTGCCTGTAGCGCTCCTTCCTCCTCCGTAAGGCCTCTTCTGTATTATCTGCTCCTGGAAATATAGAACACTTATTTACAGCAAATGTACACATTTTGTATCAATCAAACACCCAATTATATCTTTCCTTTCAGAAGTAATGACACATGTTCAAACATATCATTTCTAGCTAAAAAACTAACGGTACGGAGGAAAAATCTGAATGTCCCCTGACCTATTATAAGTCCGGTGACAATTTGAGGGTCTTCATCTTTGGTCAGTACCCTTGAACTTCTGCCTGGATTCTCCCTCTTCTCCCTGGGAAAACACACACACAGCTCATCTATTTGATCTGAATCAATTGTGTGTCCTGACTGTTGCTCTTTTTTAGAAAGAAAAAAAATAAATAAAAGATTGTAAAAAATCTAGAAGAAGATTCAAAATAAATGTATATAAACATACAAATGGAAAGTCAAATGTCAAAAAGAAACTAAATAAATACAGACAATAAAGGGATAAGATAAATAAAATAAAGGTATTTATATAAATTAGTTATTAAGTTCATAAAAGTGCAATAAAAAGATTTAAAAACTAAATAAGATAATTATTACAAACACAATTTTAAAGTAAAATGCCTAATGAAAGTTTGAATAAAAAAATATTTGTATAGAAACAATAGAAATGTATATATAACAGGTATATTACAACATCTACAGCTGTGTGTCAGTATAAATAAGATATTAGAATTGGTCTGCTGATGTGTCAGTATATTGAGCACCTGTTGCTCTCAGGGAGCATTATAATGTGAACACATGAACCTGTACCCGTTATCTGTCTTATTCAATCTCCTCCTCTCATGAGTAGCCTCGGCCCCTGTCTGTCTGCGCCTCCTCCCTTCCATCATTAGCTCCTCCTCCTTCTCCTCAGAGTCCCACAACCTGTCACAGTGCCGGGGGGGGACTGAGGCCCGCTCGTCGTCGTCCTCGGAGCAGAGGGGCTTCCCCTCAGCGAGGCGCAGAGCCCGGAGCAGCTCCCTGCTGTCCTCTGTCAGGGTGGCTGCGTCCCTGTGGGAGGGGGGGCGCTGTTCGGAGAGAACACCTGCCTGTTGCTGAATGAAATGTGGTTACTAACTGAACCTCCATCCTTTTTAGCTGCAGCTAAACACAGGAGTTAAGAGGTAAATTAGTGACAGTCACCTGAGCCATGTAGCGCCTGTAGTCCATCCGGAGCTCGTGCTGCAGCCTCTGTTTCTTCCTCTCATACTCCACACCGAGGGGGAGCCCCACACAACAACTGTCCTCTAAAAAACACAGCCATCAATATTTAATAAAGACACAAGGTGAAGAGTTTGGTGCCAAAACATGACAACTGAAACTATAAAAGAAACAACGCTGAAAAACATTGCACCCAGCAGAGGGTACTATAAATGTAAGTGGTATTTGTTCATTTTTTACGACAAGAATGATCTAATACAACACTTAAGGAGTGAACTGTACCTTTCCCCTGTGTTTTAGACTTGGGAGGGATGTTCTCCTTAACAGTGAACCCATAGGCTCGGTGGGGTTTTGCCTGTCAGTCAAAAAATACAAGAATAATTGGCATTAAATGGTATTCAAACCAAAATCACATTTTGACAGTTTATTTATACAAATAAACTGTTAAAATAAGAACCAAACACTTTCTATCGTTACAATGTAAATGTGTTGCAGGATATTATCCGTGTACACTTGCTTCTACATAAAAGGAAATTATTGAAGTTGACTTTTTAAGGGCGGGTAAACAAAAATATCCTTGAGAATTTCAGAATACAAATTATTAAATGTACATGTATTATAATTCATATAATAATCTATGTTATATCAATTATGTGATATGATGTCAATGAGGTCTTAGCTTTATTATGTCGTTAAATGGAAAAAGTGCATTTTCATGGTTAGAAAGGCTGCATTACATTATAGCAATGTCACTTTTTGAACTTCAACCATTCTAGTATTGGCCTTTACTCACTTAACCATTGTATCCACATAATTAGAAAATGCATCAACATTTTCATTTTATAAAGCTCTCCCCACAACCCTTATTAGTGGTTATTTATCCAGAATACTGGCCTGGTTTTGATCCATATCAGACTAAATAAAGCCATATTTCCCACACACCTTTAAATCCATGTAAGGAGGGTCTTGTTCCAAACTGGCTTTATCCTCAGCCACCCTCGCCCTTCTCTCCCTGATGAAGATCTCCAGCTCGTCATCCATCTCCTTTTGGCAGAGTCATACAACCCAACTGAAGACACAACATGTCACACAGGACTGGCATTATATAAAACAGTGTATGAAGAAGTCAGACTGCACAATTTATCATTTTAACTAGCGAAGGTAACGGCTAATATTCAGGTTTTTATTCAGCTGTGTGCCATGCATAATGTAGGTGCAACACAGACCACAGCTGGTGATTTCACTAATTAGTTCCTCTAATCTGTAATTAGCCAAATCAATGTAATGACGTGCAAGCTGGAAACTAAATGATCCGTTGTGTACAGCCTTAAGGCAATTTCGTGTACATTATCTGTGGCCATAATGAAGAAAAGTACACAAGAAAGTTACATTTTAGCACCTGCAATTAGGGCAATTCAATGTTGTTTTTAAAGTAAGTCGATAATGCTACTGTCACTTTAATTTTCCGTTGTCAGGCAACCACAATGAACAAGATAGTGTCATATCCCATACAGATAGCAATGAACCACTTAACGATATTAGCTTAGCGGCTATAATTAATATAGTAATTAGCTTTCAAAATAATGTTAACAGGTTGTATAGAATAATGCTTGCTTAGTTGGTGCAAAGTAACCTATACAAAGCTTTACGTAAGCTAACGTGTTAGCCCTAACTGAAGAGAGGCAAACCTAAAGTAAAGCCAATAAGAACGACACAACAATGAGGAAAGCTAACCTGTGCTAATAACTAGCCATTCGCCCAGCAAGCGTTACTTCTAAGATATCTCTCAGTGGTAGTCTCGTCAACAACAAATAAAACCTACCATTGATTGAGCGATGTTTGAATATGACGATACCGGATAAGGCAAGGTTTGCTAACTAGCAACTGATGGCGGAACCTTGGTTGTTCACTGAGCTCATAACATTTCTAGCACGTTAATCATAAATGTGCACTACTACCGGTTTTAAATGTCAAAATAAAAGCACATGCATTGTAATATCTCAGCTGATAACTATTCTGCAATGCTAGAAATGTTTAGTGTCTGTTGTGTTAAAAGGACCATTCTATATTCCTGGGTTAAAGCAACAACAAAACAATCACAATGAATTTGTCCCGATATTTCCTCTGTATCTCATAATATGAACTTATTAAGAATAATGGGTATTGAACTGGTTTCATTAGTGAGTTTATGTAAGGCAATTAGTTAGAAGCCCTATTTCATCAGTAGCCTATGTCTGCACAGCAGTTACAATGGTCAAATCACATTAAAACAGGATTGTCCCCATTTTTTCTTTAATAGTTACTAACATTAAATATTTTAATGAGATATGGACCGCAAAACAAAAAATGTGCCTGCATAACGAATTTAGCAGTGGATATAAAATTCAACTGAGTGTCACTTGCAATGACAGTGTTGTGTTTTTATTTTATTAACCTCTTACATTAAAAAAAAGTTAGCATTTTCAAAAGGTCTTATGTTTGGGGGGGGGGGGGGGGGGGGTTCCAGTTTAGAGCAATAGCCCCTCCAAATGTCTGTGCACGTCCATGCCACTCAATAATTTTCCCTTTCAGGCTGGCAGTGTTTATCTTTTTAGCATATCATTTAACAGAACATGTAGAGAAAAGTTAGTGTGAGCAGATTTTAAAAACAGCATTTTTAAAATCTGAAGCAGACCTATGTTAAATGGAAATGTTCCTGATATGTTGTTCTGTAAAGCTCTAGTACCTTTATATATACAGACTAGTCTATGCTCTACAGCGCACTCTTTCACGACACATTTTGTGCTCTTACTTTGAAGGCATATGGCTACACTTCCTGTCTTTGACTCTAACTTGACATGTGGTGTCTCAGCTGTGTGGCATCGCATCATCGTTCACGCCCACTTTCCCTTTAGATTCCACCCACTCTTTAAGAACACATGTTGCATTCATGTCCTCGAAAAAAGGTTGTTACGGTAATGGAGGAAACATTTGTTATCCACAAACAGGTGAAGGCAAGCTATACTGGTTTTGAATCATTGAAGTTCAAACACATTCAACTCAAATATATGAATGCCACAGAATACCTTCCAAAAATTCCAAAAATACTGTAGTTAAAATGGTATTAATATATTTGCTTATGTTCATTTACACATTTCCTTTGTCAATTAAATTAGTTAAAATATAATATACACATACACTTTATCATGTGCATAAACTTAATGCATGGAAATATTTATATATAATTTTTTTGTTGAAAGCAGGGTACATTATATTGCGAGTAACTTTTATATTTATTTCATCTCTAACTTGTAGGACTTGTAAAACATAAAAAATGATCGTATAGTGACACAATATATTACAATGTTTACAAGAGGGGGATTCAATTTAATTATGACTAATGCTTGGGATGGCCGTTTTTAAAAATAAATTAAAAACAGCCATCCTTGCTCCCAAACCCAATCATTTTACTGCATCATGACTAGATTTGATATTGTTTCAAATCTAATTCAAGCAAATCATATGCTTCCAAACCATTTCAAGAAATCAAAAATACCACATCCACTTTTTGTTTGCAATTTATTGCTTATATAAACGCATATATAAACTCTAAACAATTGTTGGTAAAAATAAAATCTATCAATAATAATCATAAATAAAATCATCACAATGACTTTTACATGACATTATATTGCACAATTATAAGCCTTAACAAGAATCACAGAACACAAGTGTTGTTGTTGCTCAGGTTGTGTGTACGAGGAATGTTCCGTGTTCCATGCTGCCTTCAAATGTCTTCCTGTATTTCATGAAAGTCTTTAGCTTCACAAACTGATGACCTCATGATCAAGTGTTCACAAATTGTTACTCTGTCTCGTAATCTATAGACCGCCATGATTAACACAGGAACACATTTTTTGTTATAGTACAGACCTGATGTTTCAGTGCTATTGAAAAAAAAATATATTTACAATTTGATCTTGTGAGAATGTGGACTTTCAGGTACACATGTGATCTGGCTGCCTAAAGGACGAGTTGAGATCTGCACCACAACAAAGTCAAACCTCTTCCAGTCCTTTTCTTCATTTCACAGCAAAGTCACCAACAGTGTGTCAGTTCTGAGCGACGCTGCTGCTTCCTGTCGGAGGTCGGGCGTCTCCATGTTGTGCCTGCCGCGGCAGTTAGTGATTGGTCAGCTACAGAAAGGCCTAAAAGATCCTCAGTTTGTGGTTAGTGAGTGTTTGTGTTCACATGTTGTCCACCTCGGCGCTGAGTTCAGGGCATACTTCCTTCAGTAACATTTCCATCAACACCTAACGGAGACAGTGACACAAAATCACTTTGTTACAGGTGTCGTTACATATTATAAAATGAGTTTTATGCGATGACACTATAAATATTGATGTATGTGACATGCTCAAATCAAAGTCACATTGACCCGAAACACATTTTGAGTTTAAAATACTGTTCTAAAAAGGAGATGGATAGATCTCTAATTATGTCTTTATTGTTTTTGCTCTTCAAATATTAGGCAAAATATGTCACATAACGTCAGGACAGTTACCGAGATACGACAATGAGAAAAAGGCCTTCGAAGTTTACAGTTTAAAAAAAATATTAGCCAAAGTTATTTTAATAGGGGGCTCAAGGATGAGTACTTTTGGGGCATGGTACCTCATGCTCCCCCCTTAGGACCACCATTGAATTAGCTATGATTTACATCTGTCGCTAAGTTGCTCTCTTTGCCGCTAGTCGTCATGCCTTTACAAGCTTCAACGCAGTATTTATCATCTGAATAGAGTGCTTCACATATAAATATTATTCTTACATATAGAAGATGTTTGTTAGCATTAGCCTCCTGCAGGGCGTTGAAGATCTTGATGATTCCATAGCGGGCATTCTGCTGGCCAACTAAATTTGTTAGTGCATCTGTAACAAAAAAACATATTGACACAAGGTAAAAAGATTAGACATGTTCCTAAGTTTAGGATCTACTGTACATGTTTTTATATGTTTTCGTTGCTACCTGGGATATTGTCAAGTAGTTTCTGTTGAGCACGCTCCTTGGTTTCACTACGCTCTGTGTCAGTTCGGACCTTGACGTGCGGGGCTAACCTCCCGTTGGGCCAGAAGGTGTCCCTGAACACGCTGATGTACACTACCGACATCTGTTCACAGAAGATCCAGTTTACCGTGTCCCGGATCTGTCTGAGGGAGCCAAAAAGAGATGTTAGCCTAATAGCTAATTGACGAAAATATAGAAAAAGTAGCAGTTGTCACAGGTAGAATAAGCGACGCCATATTAAAACAGTTACCTGCAATATCTTTTTAGTAAAATAAGGCAACAGAAACATTGTGAATAAGTCAATACCGCAATAGGTAAATAATCATGACTTAGTCGTTATTTGTTAAAAATGTGGAAAAAAATCAAGTCCAAATTCCATCTTGCGAGCACTTACTTGTTGATAGTTCGTCCAAATGTCACCTGGACTAGTGCAATAAGTGTCTTCCTCACCCACTTAAACACTGAGCGGACACAAAGACGAAGAGAAAGAAAGTGAGAAAAGGAAAGAGTTAGATAAATTCACTCAGATGGAATCACAATTCATATCTTTGTACCAAAAAGAAAAGGACTTACTGTAACAAATCGCACTTCAAACAAAAACAACAACACTGTTATCCATATAGAAGCATTTCTAGTTTCTGTTTATAGGCCTGTTTTTTTGTATATTGACTTTAAAATGAAAAATACGACAGTGGTGTACTCACTTCCTCTGAGTTCAAAGATCTCTCCGATGAGCATGAAGCAGGGCTCAGCGAGGGCGTCCCTCCTCCCGTCAGCCTCATCCCCGTAGTCTGACAGATCGCTGTCATCGTCAACCTCCTCCTACACACACACACACACACACACACACACACACACACACACACACACACACACACACACACACACACACACACACACACACACACACACACACACACACACACACACACACACACACACACACACACACACACACACACACCAAATGAGGGTGTGATACTGGCTTACTGTGGGAATAGTAAAGAGGATTGTACTTGTATATAAAACGGGATCAGGCTTTATAAATCGTAGGAAAAGAGTGCACATGCATCTTTCCATCTTCTGTATACACACAGCTTTAGTCATAAAACATATTGATATTTATACATCAGTTGAAGATGATGGAGTACCTCAGTATGCGAGAAGAAGTCTCCAGGCAGCTTCTCCAGGAAGGAGGCCAGAGAGAAAGAGGATTTCTTCTGGATCGACATCACCTTTAAACATGGAACAATACTGTATATCATCACAATTCAATTCACTGTATGGAATCATATTGAAACACTTTGTTACAACCTATTTCTAACATTAAAAAATGCTCTATAAAGCAATGGAAGATTTGTTACTTTGTAGCCTTTCTTGATATTGTGTCATCATGCATTTAGTTAGAAACGGCTAAATAAATAACAAACAGGACCGTACAGATATTTGAGGTGTTTTCTAAATCATTTAGAACATGCTGGAAGGAGTTTTTAAACACTCCTTTCCAAGACTAAAACGGTTCTGAATCAAATTGAAATAATACATTCTAAATGATGGTATAACATATGACCATAATATATTAGTATCTCTGTCTTATTTGAAAGTGGAAAATGATGAAATTGTTACCTTGAGGTACTCTGGGGATGGGCTGAGGAACGCATAGAGAGCCTCGGACTGGCACAATCGCTCATCTGCCAGCAGACGCTACACACACACACACACGCACACGCACACACACACACAAAGCTCATTATCAACCATCCTAACGCACCAAACAACAAAGTACTCAAATGACTGATAGCTGTACAGTGTGTGTTTGTTACCTGGAGAAAGGCATTGAGCTGGGTTTTGCTCTTGTCCAAGAACTTCTGGTCGATGGATTTGAAGGGAAGTTTACTGAGGGAGGGGA